AGGGACACCCCCAACCCCGTACACAAATTCGTGCACTGGGCCTCTAGTAGAATAATAATCAGCATCATTGTCTGTGTACGTGACATTGTTCCCTGGGAGGAAAAGAAAGGCAACTGAGCCCTGAGCCCTGGAAATTGGGAAACTGTATGTGATCTTTATGGGTTTCCTTTTAGTGCAAAAACATAATCAATAGTTTGAATAAAAGGTCTTAGTGCAAATTGAAAGGTGATTAAACAAGCCATTTATGTAAATGCTGTAGTGTTTAGTCCGTTGGGGCTGCTGTGACAGGCAGCATAGCTCGGGTGGCGTAGACACACAGACCTTTACTCACAGTGCTGGGCTCTGGGAGGGCCGAGGTTCGTGCCGGCGATGTCCCTTCGGTGCCAGCGTGGTCCCTTCCTGTGAGAGCCTCCTCCCAGGCCACGTGCCTGCTGCTGTGTCCTCCTCTGTGGGACGAGTTGGGGTCCCTTTGGACCCTCCGCTCTAAGGCACTGGTCCCTTTCATGGGCGAAGGCCGAGCCCCAAGGCCTCGTTCTAATGTCCCCGTCCACTGGGTGAGCATCTCAGCACAGGAAGCCGGGGGACATGCATTCAGACTGTAGTGCAGTGGTTCTCAACTTTCCTAATGCCGCGGCCCTTTAATACGGTTCCTCATGTTGTGGTCACTCCCAGCCATAAAATTATTTTCGTTGCTACTTCATAACTGTAATTTTGCTGCTGTTATGAATCGTCATGTAAATATCTGATATGCCTTTGCCCTGTTAAGAGCACAGTGCAGCCCGGCCAGCGTGGCTCAGTGGTTGAGTGTCGACCTATGAACCAGGAGGTCACTGTTTGATTCTCATCAGGGCACATGCCCGGTTGCGGGCTCCATCCCAGTAGGGGGCGTGCAGGAGGCAGCCGGTCAGTGATTCTCTCTCATCATCGATGTTTCTATCTCTCTCTCCCTCTCCCTTCCTCTCTGAAATACATTTTTTAAAACGAGCACAGGGCCTGGTCTCTCCCCTGGGTCCGGGTTCCGTCTTTGTGAGGTGCAGGTGAGTCCCCCGCCCCCAGTCTGCACGGCACTCAAGCCTCAGTTTCCCTGCTTGTGCATCCCGGAAGCCTTCCCACCCCGGGCCCCACTGAGGTGACCTGCTCAGGAGGACCGTTGTGTGGCGATGGCCCCCTCCGTCATGTGGACTGTGATGCGGAGGAGGCAGGGCCGCGCCTTTTGCTTGTCCGTGGGGCATGGGGACAGCTGCAGGGACACAGTCAGAGGCCCACTTGCTGCGGGAATGCCAAGCCCAGAACTCGTGCTCCTCTCCAAATAGGACGTGCAGAAGCCCTCCGCGGCAAGGCTGTGTGCAGGCGCTAAAATATCCTTCCAGCTGATTCCCCCACTTGGAGGGTGTGTGTGCTTCTGCCAAGTTCCTCCTTTGTCCAGAGGGGTCTAGCCAGGGCAGCTCTGAGGACAGGTGACAAGGTGACCAGAGGATCGGGACAGTGCAGAGGTGTTTTCCCGTCCTCTTCGGACCCCTCTTCTGTCCTCATCACGCAGTGTTGTAACGCACCCCGCGAATCACAGAGGACGCCTCAAGAAGTCGCATTATTGCATTTATTGCAATCCGGGACTATGAGGGGCCATCCCCAGATCTCATAGCGGTCAGATGGTGGCAGAACCAGACTTCTATAGGCAGAGATCACAAAGGCATTGATTACATCTCAAGGTTTGGAATGAGGAACCTGGTTTGCAAAAAAGCAGTTTACAGAGCAGAATTAAGCATGTTAATTATAGTTTTGGGTCTCAGGGTCACTGAATTGACAGAAACACCTTATCTAGAGCCCTCGGGTCTTGAGACCACTGAGTTGCCAGGAACTCATTATCTGGAGCCATCGAGGTAATTTAGAGTAATCGCGCTGTCCTGGTCTTGGGACCACTGAGTCAGCTGGAACGCATTATCTGTGGCCACTGAGACAATATAGGATTATTGTGCTGTCCTGGTTCCCAGGTACAGAAGAATGTGCTTCGACAACCAGTAAGATCACAATCAGTGGGATATTCACATCACAGTCAATAAGGCATTCAATCGAATGGGATGATTTATACAATTCAGAAAATCAAAATAACCTTTCTATTGTTAAACAAAGCAAATAGGTCCCATACTTCATTAGCCCCATCATTTATCTTCAGCGTGACCCCCACCGAATGCTCTCTGAGATCACCTCCCCCTGCCTGCCCCCGCATGCCCAGGACCCAGGACAGGTGGGCGCCCAGAAAATAATCGGTGTAAAAAAAAAGTTAACATAAAAATAAACTAGAATTCAGATAACTGGGGGGGGGG